AAACAAAAGACCACTATAAAGAGAGAGAGAGAGAGAGAGAGAGAGAGTGAGACAGAGACAGCAATCAGTTGGGCAATGTTTTATTGATATATCTACAGTGTTAAAGCAATTTGAAAACTACTAGTGTCTCTATCATAATAATAAAGTGAACTCTAAATACATGTTTCATGAATTCATGAATACATGAATATATATATTTTGCTGCCCTCCCACAGGGGCTATGGTCCCCACACAGGAGCTACAGCCCCCACACAGGAGATATGGCCCCCCAACAGGGGTTATGGCCCCCCAAGGGCCAAATGGCCCCCACAGGGGCTACCATCCCCCCTGCAAGGCCCACCTGCTCCACCCCAGCCCCTCAATTGCTGCCCCACCTGGCATTCCCCACCAGCTGCTGCAGCCCCCCCAATGCCTGCCTCACCCAGCCCCACCCTCCCACTTGCACCCCCAGGCCCCCATGGATGCCCCCTCAACCCAAGGCACTATCACTTTAAAAAAAAAAAAGACAGGGCAGGGATGGAGGGGGCTGAGGGAGTAGGCAGGGCCAGTGGGAGTCCCCCCTCCATAGTCCCCTCTCCCCTCTTCCAGTTCCCCTGACCCCTTACTTACCAGCACTGGAGCCCTGGTACTGAAGCAGCATCCAGGGGTCTAATTTTCTCCCCGTGCTGCAAGTTTGCAGTGCAGGGAACATTTTTTCGTTCCCGCACATTCCTCTTGCCCCATCCCAAGGGGTTTGAGATGGGGCAAGAGGCACATGCACGCTCGTCTAGACGTGCCCCAAGAGTTCTTTATCCATGAACAGTTTTTCGTAGAGAGAACAAAGACTTCTATTTCCTATTCCAAGGATATTGTATGTCTTGTTTCACTGAGCATTGCAAATTTGTATTGTTTCTCTCTACCTTCATTCAGTTGCTGGTATTTTGTGACCTAGTGTATGACAAGGACAGCACATCTGATCTCATCATGGTCGCATGTTTTCAGCATATTAATCATAGCAAATCATTCATGTGCTTTTGACTTGCTGCTCTGAGTATTAGAGAGAAGGCTGTATTTGCCAGGTAGGCTTTAGACTTACACAAAATGCTGCATTTTCTGCAAAACATTTTCCCTTCCTGAACACTGTCACAGACACATTTTCAAAGCTAAGCTCCTCCAAACACAGTTTAGTTACCGAAAATCTGTAGTTCCTGAAATAACTGATAGCTGAGCACTGAGGAGCTCCCACAGAAGCCCAGTGCCTGCATGTGCACTGTGAAGTGCACAGCCCACACTCCCTATGATTTTAATGGGATTTCTATGTCATCACTAGCTCCATGCAACCTTCATACTCCTCCACAGGGGCCTGATGTGCCTCCTTCATACGCAGTTGGAGAATGCACAGACTTGTGGTAGTGAGACTGAAACTGTGCAAGTGGGAAAGCACATTTGCATGCTGCATGCTTCCTCCCTCCTAGAAAACTGAAAGCATCTCTGAGAACAAACCACCCACCCCCACAGAAGCTCCTCTCCATATCCTGATGCCAGTGCTGCATAGGCAAATAGGGGTCTGCATAACCTAAGCTAGGTTTCCCTCACAATTCCAACTACTGGCATTTTCTCTTCCTTCTTCACTCAGTCTTTATTGCAATGCACTTCCATACCTGCAAAGGCTGTAGGAAGGTAGGAAATATCACAGATTATCAACAAGACTTGTGCTGGCCTTGGTTACCTATTCAAGTCCTCATATCTTTGTTTTAAAAACATCTGTGATAATCAACTTGGTACTTTTTGTGGAAATCTTTAAAATTTGCAAAAATATCCTTCAGATGGTGAATAATTTCCCAGGGAATCGCAACTTACATACAATTTTCAAAAGTTCTACTTTGTCCTCTTCCTAGTGTTTCCTCTCTGCAGACAACCTGACATTAAAATGGGATGACATTTTTAAGCCAAAAAGTCAATTCAGGGGAAAAAGCCATTTTAGGGGACAAAAACTACCTGCAAATTCGGATCAAATTTGGTGAATAGGTTCACACAACAAATTTTGGAAAAATGGACACATTCCATTTTGATATCTTTAAAGTGCTAAAGCATTTCAACTTTTCACTTCAAAATGTTGGTTTTGTTTCCAAATTAACCTAATTAAAGAAAAAAAAACTTAAAACTAAAAAAGAAACCTAGAAACTCCATTTTTCTTATTTTTCTGTCTTTCTGAAGGAAAAAAATGAAAGATTTTTCATTTCAGGTAAAACTGAACCAAAAACTTGTTCTGATTTTTAAAATTTTTGGTTTGGTCTTTGAGCCATAAAGTCCATTATTCATATATCTCTATGTGAAACAGAGATATTGTACACTTAGTCTTAATGAACTATTGGGTTTGTCTCTTAAAAGTTTGATACCATTTGGATTATTTGATTAGATACTGGAAAATTTTAAAACGTTTTTTCCCCCAAAATTTGGATGTAGCTATCCCAGAATTTCCAGCTGACTATCAAATCCAAGGGTTGTACTGTTTTTAACCCAAATTTGTAGTGACTTCACAAATTCTTCAGAAAGATGGCTAAGAGTTCATTGTCTTATGCTGCTATGGAACCTAATTTCTCTATTCATTACTCTGTCATATTCTCAATGGAATATAATTCAGGTTCTCTTTGCCACATCTCACAATAGAGGACTGAAAAGGCTGAGTAGAATCATAGGAGAATGGAGATGATCATCGGCTGCAGGTAGGCTTTCACCCCTTTTCAGCTATTGAATAGGCAATGTAAATCATTTCTGCTCCTCCCCACAGCTGCTGAACTGCAGACAGCAGAACAGCTGCTGAAGGGGCTGCCCAGCTCTGGCTGTGTCCCAATAATGCTAAGTTGACCTTCCAATGTCTGCAACCAAAAATCATGCCTAGGCAATCGGTTGGGAAGTCAGAATTTAAATAGCTGTCTCTGGGGTCCCTTCCCATGGGGTTGGGGGTTGGATCCTGCCCTTATTTCATACCTAGTATAAGTAATCACTGACTAATACATATAGAGATCAGGCCGCAAGCAACGACCAAGGCTGTAACAGACTCCTCTGCTCTGAATCTGGTGACAAGAACAGTGCATGTGTTCAGTGCATTAGGGATCTTCCAGTTAAACAGGGGGTGTGGTACCATCCATCATGTACTGCCTCTTTAAAATTATATATGCATGGCCAACAGCAAGGTGCCTCCCACTGAGAAAAGGCTTTAGATGCAGGCATGCAGACATCGGAGTTCTGATCCTGTTTGAGTTCCCCGGCAAGACATGCTATTCCTGCTCTGGCAATAGTGTCATTAATTTAACCATTCCAGCTACATCTCTAGTGATCCCTGTGAGCACTGCTGACAGCAGTGTATTCACAGGGTATAACCCTACAGGTTACCCCCTGAGAGACAGAGACCATAAGGAAGATGAACTCTGCCACAGGTACCATTATTTCTGGTTTGGTTTGGTTTGGTTATTCCCTCTGCTATTTGCCTGTTGGAACTATGCATCCTTACTTTGTAAAAGCATGGCAATTCAGGGACATGTGAATTTTGCATGCAAAGATTTCCTTTGAATCTGTTTGTTGTGAAGGGAGGGAGAGGCAATGTATATGTTTCCAAGTGGCTGCTGTGTGGGGCATTGTGTGGTGTGGTGGGCTGTTTTTAATTATCCTCTAGTTTCCGTATGTGGCCTCTATCCTTTTAGATGGTGCATGTCAATGCACCTCTCCTAGCTGAAGTGCACTTGGAAATAAAAGTTTTGCATAAGAGTTTATTTTGCAAATTGTCCTCATTTGGCTGCAAGGCTGTCTCTCGGAAAACAAAGTTTGGGATTAGGACAGCTCCTTTTTGGAGATTGTCATTTATAGCCAAAGCATTTGACATTGTGGGGGACCCAATATTTTGCTCTTCCTGATTTCCTCCCAGTACTTTGTGTAGCTGTCTGTGCAGCTGTGAGTGTATCTTAGTGATGATAAACCTGAGGTCTGGATCACTTTCATCAATGAGGTCACAGGATGTAGGAGAACATCACTGTTGCACTTCAGTGCCCAGAAAAAAAACAAAGAGAGTGGGAGCAAAATAGACAAAGTGATGCACTTTTTCAGTGAAGAGAATTACTGCTTCTGTTTTTAGTATATTTTTTTAGAAATGAGAATAGAGAGTCAAATAAAGTGGGTCATTCTCCTCCCTCCCCCTCCCCTTTCACAGTTGCAGGCACTTGTTCTTCAAGTCAGAAGAGGTTCTCTTTTCACATACAGAAAGTTTCTACTTTCATAAGCATCCTTTTGTTTCTAAAGAGAGCCACGTCTGTGTACTAAGGTTCCTGTTCAGTTTCAAGGGACCAAATCCTCAGGTGGTGCAAACTGGTCACTGAATCTCAGAGGAGTCGCAACAATTCATTCTAGCTGAGGACTTGGCCCCAGGCAGTCAATTTATTATTGCCAAAAGGAAATTTATGGGTGTGGTGTCAACACTTCTCAAGACTCCTTGCACCTCTAATTTAATTAGCTAATGTATTTAGGAGCCAGCTATGCAGTTCTTCTTTCTTGTCAGCCTGTAATGTGACTCTGTCAAGAACGCATTGCAGAAGAGGAAGGCTTTGTCTATAAGGCACTATTCATGCTTCTCACTCCATTTAGGTGTCACATCCTCCAAACTGCTCGTGTCCTCTCAGGTCTGACAGTGCTGTGGACAGTCAGGTGAAAAGATTTCACACTCCTCCCACATGACATTGCAGACTGTGCGGTAACCAGAAATCCAACCCACAGAATGCAACTGCTTGGTCAATCCAGTGGCTCTGCTCAATTAAATTAAAAATCCAATCTGCAGTAAGAGTTCACAGGGGATTTTACAATAACAGTATTTTTCCATGGTAGGTATTTGCTCTCCTATGTAGATCCCGCATGCACAGCTTCTGTCACTAAAGGAAAGAATAGCAGTGCAACAGGAGAGATGACACTTGCCCAAGAGCTCTGCAATTGTTCTCTGTTTCTCGCTCTCTCTATATATATTTTCCCTCCCTCTTTTGTTTTAATACAAGGTGATGATGAATGAAGCCATTGCTCTACAGCTTCATGGTATCAATGACAAGGTGATTTGCTGTTTGGAGAAAGCATCAAGTGAACTTCTCTGCCAGCTCCTTCCCAATACCCTGAGTGATTACTACATAGAACTCAAAGCTCAGAAGAGTCACTTGCATAGAAACAGAAGAGGCAACACCATGGGGCAAGAAGAACGTAATGCCAATGCCACCCAGAATATCAACTTTGCTGCCATCTACAACCTCCACAGGAGTGACTTTGCCTCCTTTCGAAATTTGTCCTTCCCTTTCAATTTCAGCTACAGTGATTATGACCTGCCCATGGACGATGAGGATGACATGACCAAAACCCGCACCTTCTTTGCAGCCAAGATCGTGATTGGGGTAGCTCTCATTGGCATCATGTTGGTCTGTGGCATCGGCAACTTCATCTTCATCGCTGCACTAGCTCGCTACAAGAAGTTGCGTAACCTCACTAACCTCCTCATTGCCAACCTGGCAATCTCTGACTTCATCGTGGCCATCGTCTGCTGCCCCTTCGAGATGGATTACTACGTGGTAAGGCAGCTGTCCTGGGAACATGGCCACGTGCTCTGTGCCTCCGTCAATTACCTGCGCACTGTCTCCCTTTATGTCTCTACTAATGCTCTTCTGGCCATAGCCGTAGACAGGTAAGCAGAAGAATGGGATGTTCTATCTGTAAGGTGAGAAAAAACCAGGAATTTGCACACCAGTGCTTTCAAACCTGGTTGCCACCTAAGTAAGTGGCCTGATAGACAAGAAAGGGACTTGTAATTTTCAGGTACTCTGTGTTATCAGGTTACTTAAGCATTTTATCCCACAGTGTGCTAAGCATTGTTGATGGCTGGGGATTTGCCAACAAAATATTTTTTTTGTCAGAAAATGCAAAATCATTGAAACCATCACTCTTCCCAGAAATGTGTCTGTTTTAGTGAAAACTTCCTCAGGATCCAAATGGAATTTCTAGGCTGAGAGAAGACAGAAAGAGAGTGAGAAGAAAAGAAAGACATCCCCCCCCCATTCCCCCAAATAGTCTACAGTCCAGTCATGAGGCTGTTCTAGGGACACAAGATGCTCAGGCTCATATCCCTATCTATTTGGAAAGTCTAAATCATTGAACTATAGAGGCAGCTTCTCTCTCAAGCTCTCTTTCTGGAGCTGTATATTTTATATGAATAATTCAATATTCATTGAACCCAACTTCATAGCTTGGTGATTAGAATACTCACCTGGTGAGACCTTAACCATTGAGACTCTCTCTGTGCAAAAAAATTCAAAGGGCCTAATTGCTGTTCCAATATTATGTGAAAACAAATCACAAAACCTCAATATAGTTTCCAAACATTTTCTAGCCAGATCCTCTGAGCTCATGCAGCTAGCACCTAATAAACTACTTTTCAGTGAGCTCTCAGCTGGGTGTTTAAATACACCTTTTATGCCTTATGTATATACACCCAAGTTGGACCAAAACATTTGGTAACAGTCTCCTCTTCTCACCTCTTCACGTACTGCTGCAGTTTGCACTGTCATATAACAACAAGTTTCCCACATGATCTGTGATCTGAAGGTCTTGTGGGATCTGAGGTGAACAGGCCAGAGACCCCTGCATTTTCACAACAAAATTAAAACATTATCAGTTTAAGCCCCCATTTCCCTTGTGTCCTGAGATGACAGGCATCTCTTTATGCTCAGACATCAGACTGTTTCCTTAGTCCATGGCACTGAGACCTTTGTATGAATTGATCTTCCTGAAGGCATTACCTCAAAGTATTGAGGTAAAGGTGCCCAGGTTAACGTGACTATTACGTTTGATATTCTTGGCCCGCTGAAAGTAGGAGAGAAAAGATTGTTTATAGGAAGAACTAAATGACTGGCCACTCATACATCATAATGTCACATGACTTCCTTTGAGGACCTAGGACAATTATTAGCTATATTGTTCCTCTCCTTAATCTCACTTATATAGTGCTGGAGCCAGATTCTTCTTTCACACCAGTTTAACTACACTGACTTTGGTGTAGATATGGTTAAAGCAGTGCTGAGGCAGCCTCCAGTGAAATCAATGATAATCTTTCTAATAACTTCTGTAGAAGCTAGAGCAATAATATAAGTGGAAGGAACACCAGCTTCTACAAGCCGAATCCTCAGCTGGTGTAAACCAGTATGGCTCCAATGTCATTTCAGTACACTAGCTGAGGATCTGGTCCTGGATTTTTCTTCATTATCTTGTACATATTATTGTTTTTCTACTATTTATATTCAAACTATAACAAACTGTTTGGAAAGAGCTATTAAGTCATCTCCTCCAGCCATGAGCCACATGCAAGCATACTCTCAGACTGTAAAAGCAATGTTTGTCATCCAGTCCCTATGCCTACTGAAAGACTAGAGATTTGCATGATATCTCCCAGGCTATCTCCTAACTAAAACAATACTGGAAAAGAATAAGAAAAGATGTTGTTACGAGCAAATCCTAAGGCATAGATTTTATATAAAACCTTATTTGCATGAATTTAAAGAAAAATAGCTAAAAGTGCTATTGTCCCCAAAGCAATTAACAAGCCCCTTCTGGTTATTCCTCTGGTTAAGATGATGCATATCCATATTTGTGTTGCTCCAAATTATTAACAGAAAAAAAAAGTTTCCAATATTCTGCTGCAGACTTTGCTAGTTCTGTTCATCTGAGAACACAGATAATTATATGATACACGAGCTGAAGATGCTTATACTAATATAACATGCTATTTGGGGAAAAAAAATCATATTTCAGGAAAACAGCTCTGCAATAAGATACAGGCAATACAAATATTAATATCCTTAGTGCTCTCTGTTTCTTGGAAAGTCTCACGGATTTGACAATGCAGAATGTTGACTTTTGTGGCTAATTTGGAGTTCGTTACATTATCTATGGGATAACAGATGGGAAGAATTCAAGGAGTGGTACATTGATACCTTAAAACCAACTCAACTGGCCATAGACAGAACTCTGTAATGGGGCTTCTGTATCTATTCCTATCAAGTAGTAATACAAAACCAGTGCAGAAGACAGGACTGGAAAAAAGGAGGCATTATATTCTTATAACTTTGTAAACTCTAACTGCCATCATGGCCCATGGGGGCCAAAATCAGTTAGGCAAGTTAAAGCAACCTGGAGGCTGCTCTGGTTCAGTCTGGTTCCAAGAGGATGAGGACAGGAAGGTAGATTTAAACCTTTCTTTACTTATTTTCTTCAGCTCTTCCAGGTATTCTTCAGCTACATCTGAAAAGCTAGACTTGTGTTTGTCTGCTTTATTGTTTGTTTGTTTGTTTGTTGAACTGTGAACTTCTGACTTATACTGAGAGTTGCTACTCTTTTGACTAAGACAGAGGCATTTGTAAATTTTGCTGCATTGCTATATTGTTCCATCATGTATCTGGCCTTAACCATTAAAAATATTATGGTCATCTTGATAAGGAGCCAACTGAAGTTCTGTTTCAGAATATGAGGTATCATATACCCTATCTACTTAGATACCACATGCATCTTTTCCCCAAAAAGCAGCCGTCCAAATTGGGGTGCAAGTCTTAAGTGAGGAAGTTAATTTCTAGGCTGAAATTGAAGCATTGAGATGTTGTAATATAGCTGCCATAGGCTGTGCTTCTCTCCCAGCCCAAGAGAGAGGGGCAGAGTGTAAACTTCAGGATCCCAGTTAGTTTTAGCCCCATCACTGCTGCGACTGAATTGACAGCAGCTTTTAACTGAGCTGCCAAAAGCTGCTGCCAATTCAGCAGTGGCTTTGATAGGGTTAATACTGTTGTTCTGAATTTGTAGCTAGAAATTAAGTGACTTATGCTGAGCCTGTGCTGTTAAGAAAAAAAAAGGATATTCCCAGAACTTTCATTCTGCCTTCCTCAAACAGACAGAGGGATGTGGCATGCAAGAAAACATGTTACATGCAAGCAGAAACCCCTTTAATGAATAAAAAAAATGTACACCTCTATACATAGTTTTGGAAGATATATGTATTTTACATCAATATATTTAGCCTGAAAACCTAATATTCTTGTGCAAGGTCATGCTTTCAATTACGCACATTTTTTCATCAAGGGCTGCATAAAAACCAATCACATAATATGACCTCTTGTGCATATTTAACTTGATTGAATCAATAGTAATCTGTCAATTTTGCATAGAAAGTGCTAAGGTTTCTCCTTATGTTTTTATTAAATGTTGGTGTAGTAGATGGCAGCAGTACGTTGATTACAGTTTTCTAGTCACTCTTAATGAGTGCCAGCAGCTGTCATCAGGGCAAGCAGCGTGGCAGAGAAATGGGTAGAAAACATTTAAAACAGTTACCAGCAGTCTCACTACCTGCAGAACAACAATGTATGTTAAGATGACTTGCCAGATGCTGGCTATGCAGCCGTTTCTCAATAACATGAAAGCATCCTCAGCCTTTAAAATATTTGGAACTATTCAGAACAAATTAGCCTTACCATGGACATAGCAACGCTCCTTCCAGTGAAGGAAGCAGCACACATAGACCAATCTCACCTTTCTGAGGGTACCGTTGGTGAGCACAATATATTTTTCACATAGACGTAGCCTTAAGCTAAGCATGCAACTGGATAGTCAGGACTAAAGTGCTCATTCAAGTGCTCCAGTATGGATTTTAGATTATTCATCTGGCTTTAGAGCCAACCTGCAGCCCAGGGGCAGGCAAACTTTGCCAGCTGCAGGCCAGAATGACCCATTCTGGGTCAGAGGCAGGTAGGTGGGTGCTAAGATGAGGCTGTCACTCACCCCTGTGGTGGCATAGGAAAAGCACCTACAGCCGGTGCTTGTCCTCATAGCAGCATGGGGAGAGTGTCTGCAGCCAAAGCCACCTGCCACCAAATGCCACCAGAACTCTACAGCCACGGGCCAGATCTGATGATTACATGGGCTCGATCTGGCACACTGTTTTTTTTAATCTCTTTATCATCGCTTTTTCTGAAATAACCACATTTCTATCAAGCTCTCCTTTTCGAAACAGTGACATTTTCTGTTCCCTGTTAAGTCAGTCAGCCTGCTTGTAACTAGGAATGTGTTTTGATTACTAAGGCTCCCTGACTTCCTTTTGAATGCACTTCTTTATCTTTTGTAGGTATCTGGCTATCGTCCACCCACTGAAACCACGTATGAATTACCAAACAGCAACCTTTCTCATAGCCTTGGTTTGGATCGTCTCCATACTCATTGCTATACCATCTGCATATTTTGCTACTGAAATTGTGTTATTCACAGTAAAAAATCAGAAGAAATTTTTTTGCGGCCAAATTTGGCCAGTTGACCAACAAATGTATTATAAATCCTACTTCCTTTTCATCTTCGGTATTGAGTTTGTTGGACCTGTGATTACGATGACCCTGTGTTATGCCAGAATCTCCCAAGAGCTTTGGTTTAAGACTGTACCAGGCTTTCAGACCGAACAGATCAGGAAGAGGCTTCGCTGCAGAAGAAAAACTGTCATGGTGCTCATGTGCATCCTAACAGCCTATGTCCTCTGCTGGGCTCCCTTCTATGGATTCACAATTGTCCGTGACTTTTTCCCCACGATCTTTGTGAAACAGAAGCATTATCTCACAGCCTTTTACATAGTTGAGTGCATTGCCATGAGCAACAGTATGATTAACACCATGTGTTTTGTAACTGTCAAAAACAACACCATGAAGTATTTCAAGAAGATTATGTTACTCAGGTGGAGGTCCACCTATAATGGGAGCAAATCCAGTGTAGATCTAGACAGCAAAAACAATGCAACACCAGTCACAGAAGAGGTTGACTGCATAAGACTAAAGTAATTGAAGTTTGGTTGTCATGACACGTGCATCCCTGGGGGAGGGAGGTGGGGAGGTGAATTAGTATTTTTACCTCAAAAAGCATCTCTCCCAGTTTTTGTGGTGATACCTACCACTGCAGAGAGCTCTGGATGAGGGTTCAATAGATCACAGATCTCTTTCCAACTAGGTTGTTGAACAGATGTATGACCATGTGCTGATCATATTGACTCTGCCTCACCTTTCTCTTCTGCAAAACAGGGATAATGATACTGATTTTCCTTTGTTAAAGCCCTTAAGATTTAGGGACGGAAAGCTCCATGGAAGAGCTAAGTGGTGTTATCTGGGTGCAAGACTCTATCTCAGAAATGACATCAACAATTCTCCCCTTTTCTCCTTGCCTTAGGGACTGACCTTTTTTTCCTTCTCTGGAGAAAGACCCTTGGCTTGAAAGGTCTTATTCTTCTCCCATTTCCTTTTTGCAACCAAACATACTACTTTGGTGACAAGAAACTCTATGCTGCTGTATAGCACTTTCTTACACACCCAAGTCCTAGAAAGCAAGTGACATTTCAGAGTGTCATTGTCTCCACAGAATGCTACCCTGTTCCCTGGCCAGTTTTCTATACAGATATGAATACTGCTTCTTAGTCTAGAATAGACGCCAGATCCTTTAGTGTGATAACCTATACAGAACTCTGGCTCCATCCTTCTCAAATTGTATGGGAAATATTGCCAGTAATTTAGTATTATGTACCTGAAAAGAGAATGTGCATAAGGCCCAGGTATCACCTAAGGGCCAGGCATCATATAAAGTCCATGTATACCCCACAAACATATTAAAGTGGGACAAATAATGTGGAAACCTTATGGTAGTCCTTTGTATAGGGAGGGAATTTTAGCTCTACAGTGGGCATGACAGACTGAACAGGCTTTCAGTAGTCATTGATTTGCTGTTTGATTTTCACTTGGTATCCATTTAAACCTAGAACAGCTGTGCAACATATCTCAGTGAATATTACGTGAATCTCCATTAATTCCATCTTGCTTATTCTGATTATGTGCCCCCCTAGGATTGGTGTGTCTTTCAACTGATAACTGTGTTTTAAACAGGTGGTAATGTCAGTAAAGTATGCTCATTTAAGTCCACAATTATGAAATTTGATGAATGTTCATGTCCTAAAATTGAGGCTTTTCTACTGCACTGCCAAACGCTTCTCATTTTTAAATGTGTGATACTGCCTGCTTTTGAAGTAATTTACTTTCGTAAATAATTTGTTTCTTTGTAAATTTAAATTGAGCAGAAATCCCTCTTAATTAATAAAATGATACGTGTGGGAACCTAAAAGCAGCATTCAAAATTATTTTCAAGGATTTTGTTTTTATTCCCCATCTTTTTTTTTCTCTTTTCTTACATCAAACAAATGACTACCGTGTGAACTGGCCCATTTTAGTAGTAAAGAGCAATTGTGTGTAATGGGATGAATATATTCAAATCTTCCTATAATTATCTGCTTGTAATGCATAAAGCACTGAGGGGGACCTAACAACTATACTCACACCCTTGGAGGCTAAAAAATTATTAAAGTCTCTTTTTAGAGAACAGTTTGTGCATCAAAAATGTATTAAACCTATTTGTTTCACTGACCTACATAGAAATGTGAAAGGAAAAGGGGTAATTGAATGGCTAATTAAAAGACCCTGAGGGTTAGCATATTGTATCATCAGCTATGTCAGTGAATTCTATTGTGGAGTATTTTTACACTAAAAATTCCCTCGAAAGATGTGTTGATATTTACTCCTTGCAACAGGACATACAAATTATAGACAGGCTGGATAGCACCACCTACTATTAAAGTTGCATAGTGTTTCCCATTAAGGACCCTTTTTTCAGAATCTATTCAGTTACTCTTAACTCTCTAAAACTTTAATTATTTAAGCTGGAATCTTCTATGCTAGATACTAGGGGTGTGCAAAACAGGCTATATTCAATTTGGATTTGGATCCGGCCCGAATCAGGGACAGTGATTCAATTCATTGATTCAGATCAATGACCCCGATTCGACTCGGCCAAATCCGCATCTGAAGATTTGATGCTGATTCAGAGAATCAGTGATTCGGCCATAGACACAGCTTTAAATGTTTTTTCTACATACCTTGAGGTACTGGGTGTGGTTTGTGAACTCTGTTATGCTGGTGCGGATGGAACATCCTATAGGAGCGCAGGAGGGGGTGGTCTCCAAATGCTCAGCGGCAAACCTAGAAGTGGACCAGAAGTACTTCTGGTCCACTTCTGGGTCCACCAGGAAATGCTCAGGGGGCCCTCCCACACACCCCCAGCTCAGCAATCAAGTGCAGGAGGACCCCAGGTGCTCCCCCCAGATCCAAGAGGGCCCAGTCAATGAGCTGGGGCATGGGGGAGCCCAGCATGCTCCCCAGCAGACCGAGAAGTGGACTGGAAGTGCTTCTGGTCCACTTCCAGGTCTGGTGCTGAGTGTGCTGGGGAGCCCCCCACATGCTCCGGGGGGATGCTCCATCTGCCCCACCATTGCAGCATTCACGAGCCACCTGGTACCTTGAGGTATGTAAGAAAAACATTTAAAGCTGTGTCTATATCCAAATCACCAAACCTTTCTGAATTTCTCCAAATTGATTTGGACGGTTCCGATTCAATTCAGAGAGATTAAAGGGTCTCCTGATTCAATTTAGATTCAGAGATTCAGCTGCCAAATTGGGCCAAATCTCCACCAAATCGAATCAGTGACTGAAGCTTCATACAGCCCTACTAGATACCTGTCTTGAGGGACCAAATCAAATGAGGGGCTGGCATGAGATTATACTTGGCAGGGCCAGGAAACAGGAACTAGTTATCTATGGGGAAAGAGGAATAGAGGCACACCTGGCAGGGTCTCTGAGATCAGCTGAGAAGACCTGGAAGAAAAAATAGGACTGACTGGGAGCCAGTGGGGTTGAAGGGAGGAAAGAGAGATGAAGGAAGGAGAAAGATAGAGGGAGCATTAGTAGGATAAGGAACCAACAGTAGGAAAGTAACATTGGAGGGGAAAAGCTTGGGAGGAATGGTCAGGTGTGTGGTCCAACTAGTGATCACTAAACCACATTCTCCTACAGAGCCTGGGACCCAAGACATAAGTCCTACCTTTCCTTTTCTGTACACCTTTCTGTATAGTCACTGGCAAGTGTCCCATCTCCCTCTAGTGTTGGACAATACGAAGAACAGCAACCTACTACTGCTATCACCTACTCTCTCAACTCAGAAGCAGAGGTCTGTGTGCTAGATCTAAAGGTTCCAACAATCTCCAAGATTTTAACATTTCCGTTTCATAATGCCTCTCAAAAAAACCCCAAAACCAAAAAAATCCCCTCTCCCCCCAAGATGTGCACATGCAAAAAGTCATCAGCTGCCTAAAGCAACATTACTGTGCCTTTGTGATTAGCCCTGCTCACAATTCAACTGAAACAATGCAATACAGTATAATATTGCATAACTGCAATACCCAGTAATGTTCCATTTGATTAGCATAGGTGCAAGGAAGGGGGTGGCAAATTGTTGAACCAAACCATGTTTAGGGGCACTGTCTCTATAAAACACTTCTTTTCCACCTCTGAACAGCTACACTTAGCATTGGTACAGCTTTTGTGATCTCAAGATCTCTATCAATTTTGTCATTTGACAGCAGATAGTACAGGCACAAATAGCTTTGAGGAAAATATTTCTTCCTTGGCACCTGAAACCCAGGAGGTGGCAGATGTCCAAAATATGCAGAGGTGCCTTCCCCAAAACCTTCTGTCTTTCTCCTGGAAACATTTTTAAAAGGTAATGCTAGCTGGTGATTATGGGAGGAGTCAAGTATGAATCAGTGAAGCATGAGGGGAAAGTCTTTGTGGAGAGAAAACTACCTATTCCACCTTCCTCCACCACAGTGAAGAACTAGAGCATTTTACTTAAAGGGTACAGTGAGCAAATCCTCTAGTTATCCCTCTGTAGCAGGTTTGGGATTGCTCAGCTCAAATAGTCTTTGTTTACAGTTTTTATTTCCCTGGGGCACACTCCCACCCCACAGAAATCAATGTAAACAGTCAACAAAACAAACACACAAATAGTATAAGGTCTTTTCCCAGACCTGAAGAAAGCTCCTGGGCTCAGTGTTGCAGCCGTTAGCCTGCACTCTTCCCTCTCTTTCTGGTTCCCTCCACCAAACTCATGTGTCTGTTTTCCCAGACCCTAAGAGAGAGGAACCTCTGGCACAGTGCTCAGGGTTCACCCAGGAACCTAACCACCTCCTCTCTCCCTCCCACACTTACATGCACTCTCTGGTGCAACGGGAGCACTCAAACTTGTGCTTGTACTTCCACCTTCAGCCCCACAGCCCTCCTGTCTTTTCCTGGGAGCTTTTTAACTCCCACAGGGACAACCAATTATCATCATCAGCTGGCCCAAGCCATTGAGGCAGGCTTGTAATAATCCCCTGCTTGCTTCCAGCTGGGCTGTAGCCTCTGAAGCACTGCTACATCCTCCCTCCTTTATTCTAGCTCTCCCCATGGGAGTGTCTTTTCTCCTATACACACTCCTGACTTAAGCCTAATTTCTCCCCATTCCCTCAGTAAAGTGCTGGCACAGAGAGCTTCACAGGTCTTGGGCTGGGGAAGCCATTTATGGAACACTTATCCTGCACAACCTAGGAACAATACAGACATTATTTCTATTAACCAACATCTATTCTGGAGCACTAATGAAACATACACTTACTGCTCCAAACACACCCCTGCCCAGCCAGTTCTTCTTTAGTCAACAGTACCATTGTCACTCATTCCCCTTCCAGTTCAAAAGTGGCCCCACCCCCATCCCATCAGCAATCTCCACTGCAAAGATGTGTCTTATCTCAGTGAGGGGTTATTGCAGGGCCCTTGGCATGGCTTTACACGCTCGTGGTGCTCGGGCCAGGTGCCAGATGATTGGAAGATGGCCAATGTGGTCCCCATCTTTAAAAAAGGGAGGAGGGAGG